AGCACAAATAAACCCGCTATATTTGTAATTCGTATTAAATGCACAGTCAAATACGAAAGAATCATCAGTTAGTATAAATATTACACCTATCAACCGTCAGAGTCCTTATCAATTAAGTCCTCAACTGCTGTCTACTAGGTCAAGATATATTTTGATGGCTTTTGGGTGATGGAACTGAAACATTTAGCGTAAAACCGATCTATAACTACCTGCAATTTTTGACAAAGATTGTGGTAGTTTTCTGGATCTCAGTACCGTACAGTTTTAACGTTGGCATTGAAAATTCTGACTTTGGTGTTGAACGAAAGTTTTGTCGGGCTCCTGATGTTCTTCTGCTACAGGAATTCCGCCCTTGACTTCTTGATTCGTGTCTTAACATCTGAAACAGGTCCCCTTCGTTTGTCAATAATGCTGCCCGAATCCTTACATGTTTTTAAGCATTCGAGAGTTTCGCTCTATCAAGTGTGGTTTGTCTGGTGTCTTTCGAATTGTACTTTAGGATCTTCTCCCTGCCCTGTGGATGGTGAGACCTTGTATTAAGGAGGCTTATTCCTTACTAGCTGCTTTCGTCCACACTTGTTAGTGTGTTTGTGATAGAAGATCTAAGACATTCCCAAATACAAAATTATTCATCGGAATTCAATCTGTCCTTTTTATACTGTGTTATTCCTGAGTTCTGCTGATCTTCCTAATCCAGTCAACAGCTGGAAGAATGATGACTGATGCAAGCAGATAGCTTTATCTGACACCATCCATCACTAGAAGAACATTTGTAAACGGCCTTCTATGCACCGCTTTACAATTCAGTCCCTCGACAGAGTTATGTATGAAAGTGGTGATCACCTTAGGTGTGTCATATAGTTGAAAAAAATCCCATGAAGTTTTTTTATCAACGTTGTTGAATTCTTACTTACAATCAAGGAAGTTGCTGTATGTTATATTAAACGACGATCGTATCTAGCTTGTCTAGGATCCATTTAGTGATTATCCCTATTTTATAATTTTACTCAAAACCCTCTTGGTTAACTACAGAACCCAATCAGTAAGAAAGAATGGACATAGCAACTTTACCTCGTGAAAAAAATTACTAAAGAACACTGAAAAACCAAATACCGATAACAATCAATCCTTACTATAAAAAACTATCAGGTTACTGATCTAACTTTTAATATGACTATAAATAAAAACATTTCATTCAATCTATATTCTATGCCAAATAAATGTTAAAAAGATTTCTCATTAAAATTTTCATTTAAACAACAATTCCTAACTGATTACTTTCAGCACTGTTTGATATTACTTCCAATCGAGCATAGGCCGCCGACCACCATTCTCCAACCCACTCTGTCCTGGGCCTTCTTTTCTAGTTCTATCCTACTTTTGTTCATTCTTATCATGTCTATCTCCATTTCTCAGCGTAATGTGTTCTTTGGTCTTCCTCTTCTCCTTTGACCTTCAGGGTTCCATGTGAGGGCTTGCCATATGACGCAGTTGGATACTTTCCTTAATGTGCGCTCTATCCACTTCCAGCGCTTATTCCTGATTTCTTCCTCCTCTGGAATTCGGTTTGTTGTTCCCCCCCCACAATAACTTGTTGCTGATAGTATCTGGCCAACGGATCCGAAGTATTTTGCGTAGACAACTGTTAGTAAATACCTGTATCTTCTGGATAATGGCTTTCGTAGTTCCGCCTCATACAGTAGAACCATTTTAACATTGCTTCATATACTCGGTCATTATTCTCTTCTTTTTTCTTTTGTTTGACATTAATTTAATGATTAAAATGATAAAATTCTGTTTCATTATAATTTAAGATTAATCAAACTATTCTTATACCCTTATTTAGATAGATCACCTTATCTATTCACCTTTTAATAAAATACCAAATTATATTGACAAAACAAAAGATCAAAGAATTCCTAATGAGTTACATTCACTTTTAGACTGTCTTATCAATATGGATGTTTGAAAATAAAAAACAAAAAACGAAGAGAAAAGATCAAATTCTACATAAGAGTTTTAGTTCATTAAGTACGAAAGTTTACAGACAGTAAATATCGTAAAAAAATAATGAAATAGTTTCAGTAGAGTTTGATGATAAATAAAGATTGAGAACATCATGATCAGTCTTCTGATACTACTACTACTACTACTACTTCCAGTACGACCTTACCACTACTACTATCACTACTATTACTACTACTATTACTACTACTACCACTAGTACTACCACTACTACTACCACTACTATTACCGCTCCTACTACAACCAATGCTACCAATACGACTACTACTACTATTATCACTACCACCGCTCCTACTACTACTACTAATACTACTATTACTACTGCCACTACTAATACGACTACGACTACTATCACTAGTAATAATAATGCGACTACGACTACGACTGCAACTACTACTACTACTAATATGACTACTACTAATATTACTACTACCACTACTAATACGGCTACTACTACTGGTACTAGTACTTCCACTACTCTTACTATTATTACTGCCACTACTAATACGACGACTACGACTACTACCACTACTACTAACACTACTACTAATACCACTACTAATACTGCCATTACTACTACGACTATTATTACTATGACTACTACTACACTACTACTACTACTAATAATAATAATAATACTGCTACTACTATGTGATGATTTAGGGTATTTGGATTAAAGTGTAAACTAGGAATCCTGGAAATAATGCAATTTAATCAAGAATTATTTGGAATTCAAAATGAAGCAGTCATTAAGTTTAAAAGAATCGTTAGTGTATGAAAACATCATATATTACTACTATTAAGAATAATAATACGTCTACTCACAAAACAATGTGAAACACTAGACAACAACAAGACAAGATGATTCATGTTGGACCAAGAATATCTCAATTAAAAAATAATGATGAAGTTATTACATCCAAACATTAATGTATGAATAGATTAAATATACCGGACGGCCGTTTCATCCTAATGTGGGACTCCTCAGCAGTGCGCATCCACGATCTCGCTTCGCGAGATTCGAATCCAGGACCTATCAGTAACTCATTGAAGACATTAGTGGATGTGTCACTCAATTTCGTGCACTCGCGCGCAAAACTTATAGGTCTTGAGTTCAAATTTTACTAGACGAGATAGTAGATGTGCGCTGCTGAGGAGTCCGGCAATAGGACGAAATCGCAGTCTAGTGCTTCCAGATTTTCCATAGTGGTCTATCTTCATTTGATTCACGATTTCAACTATTTTACGATCACTTTGTAAATGTAAAAACTATAAGAATTCATGAATTAAATGAAAATAGTATGAAAAACTAATTACAAAATAGGTTTGTCCTATCTTCACAGTTTTGCAACTCTAAGATGATGATATCATCCTTTACAGTTAGACAACATTCTACTGATGTAAGTACTGAAGCAGATGACATGTTATCGTGTCTATTTACTCCATGGTCATCAGTTCGCACGTGCTTGATTTAAAAATAAAATAATATGACTATCATTGTGCACTCAGACACTATCGCCTATCAATGTTATTTCTTCGAATGAAGTAAGTAGTGGCAATATGTATATTACACGAAAGCATAGATGATTGATGCTACAAACACTAGGGGATATACTGGTGTATCTGGTATAATGTGTTTTTTCCTATTGTCGATGCGCTACTCTGTTTTCCCACATGAATAATAACAAATATTGTGTAATTCCGATCTATGTGTAAGTAAATGGGAGAGATCAATTTGTGAGGTTTCTTTTCAACTCACCGATACTCAGAACCATCATTTTGCTCCAATGGGATCAAGTTGTCACTGATGTTTGTCGTTTAGATTTGTCATCAACAAATGATTCTATGTTTAATCCAACTAATACTATTATAAACCATCGAGTTTTAAATTTTCAATTATCTGAATAAATAATTCACTGATCAGTATGAATTTCAATAACTTTATCGTAAATAATATTCATCATGTTTGAAACATAAACATTCGAACAAAATTTGCATCACTAGACGGCCGTTTCATCGTAGTATGGGACCTCTTGGCAGTACTCACCCACGATTCTGCACATTTGAATCAATCCTACGACCTTCGAGCTGGTGGATGAATGTTTAACCGCTAAACCAATGAAACCAACATCCACCAGTGTTCATGTCTAACATCAACTAATCCACGATAATGCACGACCATCTAACATTGGCTTCAGTAGGTTATTGTCCCATATCCGACAAGGATGTACTCCATTAGTCATGGATTCCTTAATGAACCATAAGAACTCTCCTTCAAACTTAATCACTAGTGAGTACATGATAGTGTTCTAACTTTGATCCGTTTATAATTTTAATGAAACTCAACAATCTTCATAGTCCTAACATTGAACAATCACAACACTAATAATAGATAATTACCACTTTTTCATAGTTGAAAGCGAGAGTCAATTGAAGCTAGATCATCAGGGAAAACCTGAAAGCACTAGACGGCCGTTTCGTCCTATTATGGGACTCTTCAGCAGTGCGCGTTCACGATCCTGCACTCGCGTGATTCGAACTCAGAACCTACCAGTCTCTCACAGGTGCACTTAACCGATAAACCACTGAACCGGCATCCGGTGGTGTTTATGTCTAATTTCGACCAATCCCTGATAGTCTAGCTTCAATTGACTCACGCTTTCAACTATGAAAATACTTAATCTCCACAAAAACATCTTCTGTTGATAATTACCACTTTTTCAAATCATTCCTGTAGCAACTAATTAGTTTCTAAATTATACCTAATGTAATTAATTCTACTGAGGTATAAGATAAATTGAGAACAGATATCTATGTATGTATGCACCATCTATATTGATCATTAATACTATAGACATCTTACTTTTTATTCAACGAATACAAATCAGTTATTTTCAAACAATTTAATTTAACCAATCATCATTATTTTCTAATAATATAAATACAGAATAATGTACAATAAGGTATCATTGAAAATGTGGCTCTCATATTTATGTCATATAAACCTGTTGTTGGGACTTATTCAAGCAACCCAATATGAGGATTCGTTCTCGGATTTACGTAAATACATTTTAATAAATATATACTGTCTAATTAATGTTTTATACCATTGTATACAAGATACAGTTCCATATATATGTGATGAATGGTAGATAATACATTCTAATTGTATCATGTCAGGTATTCTCTATTATGGTAGTCGTCTAATTCATTGTATTTTTAAAAAAATATTCATGTATTTCACTTAGTGTTTACTTGTATTGCCCCATTGTTATATAGGACTGCAATTGATCAGTCTCTTGTTTCCATATGTACATCTTGTACGAATTGCCTCGATATTGCTTAAAGTCACAAGCTTTACTTACTTACTTACGCCTGTTACTCCCAGTGGAGCATAGGCCGCCGACCACCATTCTCCAACCCACTCTGTCCTGGGCTTCCTTTTCTAGTCCTATCCAGTTCTTCTTCATTCTTCTCATGTCTGTCTCAATTTCTCGGCGTAATGTGTTCTTTGGTCTTCCTCTTCTCCTTTGACCTTCAGGATTCCATGTGAGGGCTTGCTTGTGACGCAATCAGGTGATTTCCTCAAGGTGTGCCCAATCCACTTCCAGCGCTTCTTCCTGATTTCTTCCTCCGCTGGAATCTGGTTTGTTGTCTCCCACAGTAACTTGTTGCTGATAGTGTCTGGCCATCCGATCCGAAGTATTTTGCGTAGACAGCTGTTGATGAACACTTGTATCTTCTGGATAATGGCTTTCGTAGTTATCCACGTCTCCGCCCCATACAGTAGAACTGTCTTGACATTTGTATTGAAAATTCTAACCTTGGTGTTGGTTGACAATTGGTTTGAGCTCCAGATGTTTTTCATTCAAAAACGCTAACCAGAAAAGTCACAAGCTTTATAAGTCTTAAATAGGACAAAACTCATGTCTTAGATTCCAATGCTAGACACTATCAATCTTTGTTTATGTTTATGTATTGTTTTAAAAAAATGTCGTTGATGAGATGATAATTTATAAAAAAACCTTAGAGCAACGTTAAATTGACCTTGGATGTGTGTTTACCTAATAACTAGGACCAAATAGGGGTTATAAACCTGTATGAATAATATGGATTATGATTTATAGTTGATAGTTGAAGGGTAAGGAATTAAATGTAGGATATCCATCACGAAATGACATCAGCTATATTGTCAAAACTTTATTTATCCAAATGGATGAGCGAACTTTGCGCCATAATCTGAGATCTGTGATTGGTTCGTCCATAAATTATAGTCTCTCCAAATTGTTCAGTAACATTATACATTACCGACCCGTATAACATTTTTTCTAATGAGTAAAATTACTGACTGAATCTATCTATCTGTCTATCTAATTCTTAAATGACCGTTGTTAAGAAAACATCTTCACCTGTCAATTCTTACATTTTGGTTGTATTCATAGTAACTAAAAGAATGATAGTAGTTCAGTCAATCGATATCTGGATAATGTACATTCTTTTCACTTCATATTGCTTGTCAGTAACCACAATATCTTTGATTCGGCCTTTTTGTTACTTGTACAATAAAAGGTTGTGAGCTTTTTAAAAACGCACCTGAATAGGTTATGCGATTTATAGACATAATGATATATTAAAACAAACAAAATTAGATAATTTTAATTGTTGAAATCATGAATCAGTTGAAGCTAGACCGCCAAAGTAAACTTGGAAGCATTGGATGGCCGTTTTGTCTTATTGTAGAACTCCTCAACAGTACGCATCCACGATTTCATAATTTGACAAAACGGCCATCCAGTACATCCACGTTTTTTATGATGGTCTAGCTTCAATTGATTCATGATCTCAATTACCAAAATCACTATAATATCTACAAAACCCCTTCCAAAATTAGATAACTTGTTAAAATATGTAGATGTCAGGAACAGGTAATCCAAATGTTTGATCACGCCGCCAAATTAATATGTTCAAATCAATTCATAACTACTTATGAACTATTGTTAAAATATTGTTAATTGATTTCTGTTTTTATAGTTGCATATCAAAAAAAGCTTGAGCTATTAGAAGAACTGGATATATACAAACGTAAATTATTATTTAGAAATATTTACATAATCAAATTATTGTATATTTGTATTCAATAGATTTATTTGCTTGTTTGACTATGATACTGCCCGGTTACCCAGATTGAAACAGATGGTTTTCATAAAGGTCCACTTCCCAAGCGTTTAACTTCAAGTCTAATCCACAAGATACTGGAGCAATGTCAAGAGATGTAATCCCATGATAGCCAGTGACCAATAATTGGTTCATACGCCCGTATGTTCCCTTAGAATACTGAAGACCATGTACACCATTTGTTTGGAATAAGGGTTTTCCAACTCCTCTAGGTAAACTCTCTGTATCCACAAATCCAGTTAGAGCGACGAACATTCGTTTTTTGTCCTCTCAATTTTGTAAACAACACCCCCGTCACGAACAGGCAGTGAGTAGAACATTCGTATATACATATGACTATGTGAGAGCATTTCGAGAGGGAGAGCTGACTCTCCCCACCCTCATTGATGAAGTATGTTATGGGAATATTGCTATAGTCTGTAAACGTTGATGGTAAATACATTACGGTTCTGTTATCATAACAACAAGTAATTGAGAACAAGAGATATATGTATATAACAATGTATTTGTGAATGGATGAAATAAATAAAAGGATGTATTCAATAGTTTTTTTTCTATAAACTCTTAGTCAGAAGCTCAATATAAAGTCGATATTTATTACCTTTTATAGTTGAAATCATGAGTCAATTGAAGCTAGACCACCATTGAAAACCTGGAAGCACTGGATGGCCATTTCGTTTTATCATGGGACTCTTCAGCAGTGGAGTTCATCTACGATCCTGCCTCGCGAGATTCGAACTCAGAACCTACTAGTCTCGCGCCAGAGCGCTAAAACACAAGACCACTGAGCTCTCACGTTTTCCATAGTGGTCCTGCTTCAATGGACTCATGATTTCCACAAAGCCTCTTCTGATTATTACCTTATAAATATTTTTTTCTTTATTACGTAATCGTAGAAACTTTAAAGACAGATGAACAGAATTTGAGAGCTACTATTGAACGAATTAGAGTATTGAAAAGTAAGTTAACGTTGAATTTATGAAAGAAACATAAGTGAAGACAATAGGGAATGAACTTTTTAGGTTTCAAAAGATTTAGATTCGATTGTTTATGAATTACTGTCAAAGAATTTGGTGTATCCACTTGATGTCTTTCTGGTTAGCGTTTTTTTTGCGAGTTCGTTTTACTACTGGAAAACATCTGGAACTCAAAACGATTGTCAACCAACACCATGATCAGACTTTTTAATACGAATGTCAAGACAGTTCTACTGTATGGGGCAAAAACCTGGAGAACTACGATAGCCATCATCCAGAAGATAGAGGTGCTTATTAAAAGTTGTCTACACAAGATACTTTAGATCCGTTGGCCAGATACTATCAGCAACAAGTTATTGTGGGAGGCAACAAACCGAATTCCAGAGAAGGAAGAAATCAGGAATAAGCGCTGGAAGTGGATAGGACACACTTTGAGGAAATCACCCAATTGTGTCACAAGACAAGCCCTCACATGGAACCCTGAAGGCCAAAGGTAAAGAGGAAGACCAAAGAACACATTACGCCGAGAAATGGAGATAGACATGAGAAGAATGAACAAAAGTTGGATAGAACTAGAAAAGAAAGCCCAGGACAGAGTGGGTTGGAGAATGGTGGTCGGCGGCCTATGCTCCACTGGGAGTAACAGGCGTAAGTACGCAGGTAACTTGATGTCTTGTATCAAGGAGATGTTTTGAGATTACTTTTACTTACTTACTCCTGTTATCCCTCGTGGAAGAGCATAGGCCGTCCACATGCCTTCTCCATTCAGTTCTGTCCTGCACAATCATTTACAGTTCTTTCAACTTTCTGTCCAGCCTTCTCATGTCTCCTTGCAATTCCCGATGCAGTGCTTTAAGCTTTCCCCTCTTCCGCTTACATTCACGATTTCAAATTAGTACTCGCCTAATGATTCAGTTTGATGATCTCATCAATATCATCAATAATACACATATATATTAATCTTTTATTCACCTTCATATTTGTAACTAGGTCAATATTTGTAATAATATTAATTTTGAAACACTTCAAGTTATAACCAGTTAATGAGAACCTAATGAAATGAAATGAATCCATATTATTATACTGAATCAAGTTTGCCAATGAGTTCCAAGAAACATGAAACCTACGTATAGGTTTTTTTGTTCACTATCTTCAATCAGCATATTATCTCAACATGAACATCAACTCTGAGATGCAGGTACATCCAGCTGACGAGTCTCAAATAGGACGTGGATTCCACTACTAGTCACTGTCCATCTTTGCTTATTTTAACATTGTTCACAGAACGTCGAGTCATCTTGACTAGTGACCACATTACAAATTGATTGATAAGATTCTATCTATACTAAGAAGGATCTGACATATATGGCATTGGTCACCACTTAATGATCAATCAGTTGTAAATACATCTTAGTCATACAGGAAATCAATCACGATTCGGATTGTTCAGTGGTAACATCTCTGAAAATGAAGCTATGTAACACGGAATCGAATCTGTCGGAGAGCATCATTTCCCTTAAGATTACAAGTGTACATTATTGATAAGTGTCAAGTATCATAAAACCTAGGTTCAGAATTTCCTGGTGACTACCTTTAACCACCATATTATTTCAACATAGTTCACACAAAGTCGAGTTATATAGACTAGTGTCCACATTGCAACTTTATTGATAGGATTCGATCTACACTGAAAAGAATCTAATATATATATATATGTATATATATAACATTGATCACCACTCAATGATCAAAATCAATTTTTAATCAACATTCATTTTTGTTCATTCTCTCTCTTTTTTGGCGCGCGTGCTTTTTTTAAAAATATTTAAATGACATAGTAACAATATCGAAAATAATTGATTTTTTTTTTATATTTTTCATTATTTCTGTTATTTATTTATAGATGAAATCAATGAAAAACTTTCAGTGAAATCGAAATCGATTAATCAATGTATGATTTTAATAGGAAGTATAAACACTTTTTTTTTATATATTTTAGATGTGGAATGTACCGAAAAACGTTTGAAATATGAAAATCGTGCTAAACAAATACATGGTATTATCAGAAGGGGTTTTGTGGAGATTTTAGTATTTTTATAGAGTTGAGATCATGAGTCAATTGAAGCTAGACTACCATGGAAAACCTGGAAGCACTGGACGGCCGTTTCGTCCTATTATGGGACTCCTCAGCAGTGCGCGTCCACGAAGCAGTAACCGGTGGAGTTCAACCAGGTCTGTTGTGAGATAGGAACTCACTGATGACATTGGTGAATGGTTGCTCAATTTCATGAATCAGTTGAAGTTAGAAATTAACACCGTTGGATGCCAGCTCAGTGGTCTATCGGTTAAGGGCTTCGGCTCGAAACTGGTAGGTCCTGGGTTCGAATCCCGTGAGAGTGGGTTCGTGGACGCGCACTGCTGAGGAGTCCCATAATAGGACGAAACGGCCGTCCAGTGCTTCCAGGTTTTCCATGGTAGTCTAGCTTCAATTGACTCATGATCTCAACTCTATAAAAATACATGGTATGTTCAAAGATAATCATTATAGAATGTTGATATGACTTAAGTAACCTTATTATTATGATTATTATCCATGATCTCCCCCCCCTATTATCAGTGTAGCTAATCCGTGTTGCGAAGAGATAAGTATTTACTTCAGACAGTGGAAGATGGTGGAGGAATTATGTGGATTTGTAGACGTTGGATATTAACACTGTTAGATGAAGGCTCAACGGTGTAGAGATTATTCGTTAGCGTATGAGACTTAAGGTCCTTGGTTCAAATTCCATGAGAGGGATAGTGGTTATGCACTGCTCAGGAGTGCCATACTAATATGAAACGGTCGTTCAGTGATTTCATGTTTTCGATGGTGTTTCAACGTTCATTGATTCATGATCTCAATCAAAAACTCAACGATCTTCACAATCCTATATTTTCACTAGTAACTAACTTGTTAGAGTTCCGTTGAGAAGCCGTTACCGGCGAAGCTAATCCGTGATGGGGAGAGATAAGTATCTACTTCAGACAATGGAAGATGGTCGCGGAATGATTAGGATTTGTTGAAGTTGAATATTAACACTGTTGGATGACGGCTCAGCGGTGTAACTGTATTGTTATTATTATCATCCATGATCTCAATCATAAACTCAACAATCCCTACAACCCCATATGCTCACTAGTAATTAGTTTCTCGGAGTTCTAGTGAGAAGCCATTACCAGTGGAGCTAATCCGTGTTGAAGAGAGGTATGTAACTACTTCAGAGAATGGAAGATGTTTGAGGAATTACTTGGATCTGTTGAAGTTGGATATTAACACTGTTGTATGAAGGCTCAACGGTGTAGAGATTATTCGTTAGCACACGAGACCTGAAGGTCCTTGGTTTGAATTTCACGAGAGGGATAGTGGATGCACACTCCTCAGGAATTCCATACTATAATGAAACGGCCATTCAGTGATTCTATGTTTTCAATAGTGTTCTAACATTCATTGATTTATGATCTCAATTATACGTAAATTCAATACATTCTGATAACTATCTTAACTCATCAGACAACCTATTCTTTGTAGCTACGATTTCCACGTGGATATGTATCGACATAGACGTACATTATTTCTCTTAGTAGTAATGTATTTGTGGAATAACATACCCACACCTTAATATTAAATATAACTTATGTATGGTATTTGTTTAAATCTTTCATCCGTCAATATTATAGAATTAATACTTACAATGGATTATATCGAAAGAAGATATCGTAAGTCACAGTATGATATTGTGGAGATTGTTAAGTTTTTTTGATTGAGATCACGAACTGATTGATGTTAGAGCACCATTGGCGTGTTTGCGCACGAGACCAAAGGTCTTGAGTTCGGATCCTACGATTGGGATTGTATATGCGTACTGCTCAGGAGTCTAATACTAGGATGAAATAATCATCCAGTGCTCCCAAGTTTTAAATGGTGGTCGAACATTCATTGATTCATGATCTCAATCAAAAACATATTTTAAGTAGTTGTAATAATTTTTTTTAAATTAATAATATCATGAACATTAGACATACCAACAGTGTTTGGTGGAATAAAGCTTATAGTCCAGTAGATAGCGTGGAGTCGCGATTGACTATGATCAACACTACAGGAAGATTACGTACTAGTTACCGAGTTAGATCCCTGAGTAGGCCAAAAACCAGAAGGTTGTTGACGGTTGAACTAAGATATATTTTTTGGCGATCTCGTGGTATCGAAAGAATAGTGAGACGTACAAAGTTTACAAGCGGAACTACCGAGAGTACTCGAGTTCGTGCAAGATCACAGGCGACGGAAGAAAGAGTGTGTTTGGTACACTTAAACAAACAAGTACATTAAAACAATCACTGGTACAATCGCTTATAATTATAATTGTTCCCATTATGCCAATCGCGTTCTCGTCATGAAAGTGGGTCACTACAGTCTTATCATGTAAACAGTGCATTATGCTTGAAATATCGAACAGACAATAAATGAATTATCGGAAAGGGGTTTTTTGTGGAGATTCAGTATTTTCATAGTTGAGATCATGAGTCAATTGAAGCTAGACCACCAGGGAAAACCTGGAAGCATTGGACGTCCGTTTCGTCCTATTATGGGACTCCTCAGCGGTGCGCATCCACGATTTCTCCTCGCGGGATTCGAACCCAGAACCTACCAGTCTCGAGGTCGTGGATGTGCAATGCTGAGGAGCCACACAATAAGACGAAACGGCCGTTCAGTGCTTCCAGGCTTTCCATGGTGGTCTAGTTTCAATTGGCTCACGCTTTCAATTAATAAATTGTCTATTGATTCATAATACAATAAATTGTTTAGAGATAATATTGTTGTATACAAGAACACGGATGAGGACTATCGTATGTACCAGAGGCACAAATAACAAATCATTTTACTAAAATCTGATAACCATACAATGAATAGTTAATTTGCAAACTATCAACCAATGGACTCAATCTTGACCATCCCTTCTGTAAATATCAGTTCATCGTCTCCGATTATTCTCATCCATGCATTTTCACACCAATCGCCCTTCGTTCCCGTTCTTTCCTTATCGATCTTCTACTGAAACACATTCTATGCCTGCACATCACCATATACTACTTATGTGGATATAAGTAGCGCATATAACAAATTACACCTTCATAATATATAAATGTGATTCTTTCATCTTCTTCACAATAGTGTTATTCCGTTTCATTTATATTACATAGATGTATACCATTCGAAGACATCCTCATTGAAGAGATGTTATCGGAATCAGTCAGCGATTTATCGAAGTAAGATTAAATATACCAGTGTGTTCTATTGTGTTATTTATGTTTCATAGTCTTTTGTCTTTTATTTACATTTAACCTGATCTAAATGAAATGACGTTTTAGGACTGGAACTGGTCAGCCTCTAATTGACATATGTGCATACTGTGCGTATTACATCAATATAGCCTTAATTCACAAACATTGTAAGCAAAGATGGATAGGGGCTAGCAGTGGAATCCAGTTTGACGCGCGTTTCGTCCTATTTGAGACTCGTCAGAGACTGACCAGCTGCAGTCCTAAACATCAATGGGAAGATTCAAACAAACAATACTAAGTGAATTTAAACTTCACTCCACTGCACAAGCAAGTGGCTATCAGGACTCAGTAGCTGAGTGGATAACATAATGGCATTTGAAGCCAAAGTTACTGGGTTTTAGTCTCAGAGTGAATAACAACATGTCTGAGATGCAGGTACATCCAGCTGACAATTCCCAAATAGGACGAAAGGCGCGTGAAATTGGATTCCACTGCTAGTCACTACTCATATTTGCTTACAAAGTGTTTTACTTGCATTCCACGAAATTTCACGACCAACTTCCATTGCACTGAAATATATACCTGTCTCTACCTGACATGGATTAGCTCCACTGGTCACGATTTCTCACTAGAACTCCAGGAATTACCTCAAAGAGCCAGTCACTAGTGAGCATATGATCATTATCAGAACAACAATATCAAATGATTCAAATATTTTCAAGAATTTATATGATATGACTGCTTACAATGTAATCAAGCAATGATATGCAAACTATCATTTACGATTGTAAGCAAAGATGGTTAGTGGCTAGCAGTAGAATCCAGTTTCACTCTCCTTTCGTCCTATGTGGGGCTCGTCAGATGGATGAACCTGCGCTTCAGACTTGTTGACGTTCACTCTGGGACTCGAACCCGGTAACTTTTGCTTCAATCACTATTGTGTTATCCACTCAGCTACTGAGTCCTGATAGCCACTAGCTTGTGCAATAGGGTGAAATTTTAAATTCACTTAATATTGTTTGTTTGAATCTTCCCATTGATGTTTTAGGACAGCAACTGATCAGTCAGACGAAACGCGCGTCAAACTGGATTCCACTGCTAGTCACTATCCATCTTTGCTTACCATTCTTGTGAATTAAGGCTATATTGAGGTAGCAATACGCACAGTGTGTATATATGCCAATTATTTTACTGTGACAAACAATCAAGTATCATATGATGTTTTTCAAAATTTATACTTTACAATTTTTCTTTCCATATCTCAACAGAGGAGTCGCCTAAAGGTCAACAGAAAAACTGCAATTCATATACAGGACTTAATCAACGAGGTAACTTGGATTACATTATACCGTTACTATTAAAAATGCATGATTTAGATGAAACATTTCAATCAGATTTGGTTTACGTTATATATATATATTACTTACTCCTGTTACCCCTTCGTGGAAGAGCATATGTCGTCTACAAGCATTCTCCATATAACTCTGTTCTGCACAATCATTTACAGTTCTTTCAACTTTCTGTCCAGCCTTCTCATGTCTCCTTACAATTCCCGATGCAGTGCTTTAAGCATTCCCCTCTTCCGCTTACATTCACGATTTCAAATTAGTACTCGCCTCATAATTCAGTTTGATGATCTCATCAATATCTTGTCCTATCCACTTTCATCATCTTTTCATAATTACCTATTCAGTTGGAAACTGGTTTCTTCTCTCCAACAATAAGTTGTTGCTGATGTTATCCGATCAACAAACATTGAGTATGTTGCGTGGACAATTGTTCATAAATACTTGTACTTATTTGATGATGGTTGTAGTAGTTCTTGAATTTTCAGCTCAGTACAATATAACTAACTGTCTTGACGATCGAGTTGAAGTTTGTGACTTTGGTGTTGGTTGAGAGTTATTTTGAATTATATATGTTATTCAACTGTAGGGATGCGACTCTTACTTTGCCAATCCTTATCTTATCGTCTGTATCAGATCTTTTGTGTTCAGCGATGATGCTGTCCAACTGCATGAAACTTTCCATCTCTCGCAGAGTGTCTCCATCAGTTATGATTGTGTTTTATTTGAGGATCTTGGTTTTTTACTTTGTGTATATTGATGACTACTGATACAGAGACTGCTGCTAAACTAGGAAAACTACTCCTAACTCGGTGGTCTCTCAATCCTGAAAAGTCTTGGATATTGAACACTCGATTTGCCACCTTTCGAGTACACTCTGTTCACACAGAACTCGAAGAACTATCTTAGTTACATAATAAGTAAATCGGATTACTAGTGTTCCTTTTTTTTTAAATACTGCACCATTGTCAACTAATACACAAATATGTATGAAAGAATGTAATGCTTGAAATCGATGACAGTTGATATTCGGATTCTATGCATTCATTGATATTTAATATAGAATATACTGTGGTGAGCAAGAGCGGCATATTTACAACTGAAGAACATCTGGAACTCAAAACGATTGTCAACCAACACCATGATCAGACTTTTTAATACGAATGTCAAGACAGTTCTACTGTATGGGGCAAAAACCTGGAGAACTACGATAGCCATCATCCAGAAGATAGAGGTGCTTATTAAAAGTTGTCTACACAAGATACTTTAGATCCGTTGGCCAGATACTATCAGCAACAAGTTATTGTGGGAGGCAACAAACCGAATTCCAGAGAAGGAAGAAATCAGGAATAAGCGCTGGAAGTGGATAGGACACACTTTGAGGAAATCACCCAATTGTGTCACAAGACAAGCCCTCACATGGAACCCTGAAGGCCAAAGGAGAAGAGGAAGACCAAAGAACACATTACGCTGAGAAATGGAGATAGACATGAGAAGAATGAACAAAAGTTGGATAGAATTAAAAAAGAAACTCCAGGATAGAGTGGGTTGGAGAATGCCGGTCGGCGGCCTATGCCCCATTGGGGGTAACAGGCGTAAGTAAGTAAAGTAGTGGTGAGTGCTACTTATATCTACGTAAGTAGTACATAACAATTGTCATGGTTAGAATGTCTGGCAGCAGAAGATCCAGATGGAAAGAATGGAACGATAAAGCAATTAATATGAAAATGCAAGATTAATGAAGTCGGAGACAATTGATTGACAGTTTGCTAATGAACTATTTAATGTATCATTCTTGGATCTTACTGAGAGACTTTATCATTTTGTGTTAGAATACATTTGATTGTCCCCATTCGTGATCTCGATCACTGCTAATACTTGGGAATAACACTGATATTTGTCTGCTTCTTTTTCAGGTTTTATTGATCTTCAAATCTTAATGAAATTACAACGTTCCTACATTGATGAATATAATAAAAAATTTTGTAAGTAACTAGAATTTTGTGTGAAACTATAACTTATGTTTTATTTATTTAAACACGTAAATATTGTTACAAGGAGACATCAGATACATATGCACCACACAAATCTCATTTGATTTGTGTGGGGGCTGTGATACTGCCCAGGTGCCCAAACCGAAGCAGGTGGTATCCTTAGGGGGCCACACCCCGAGCCTTTGACCTACAGATCTGATCCACAAGGCAGTGGAGCATCGTAAGGAGATGCAGTTCTTTGGTAGCCGGTGACCGAAAATTGACTCATACGCCATTTGTTCCTTCAGGACACTGCAGCCCATGTGTATCATTGGTTTGGAATCAGGGTTTTCCAACTCCCTAAGTGGACTCGCCGTGTCTACCGGTCCGGTTAAAGAGCCGAACAATAGCTTTTTGTCCTCTCAATTTCGTAAACAACAGTAATGCCATGAGAAGGCAGTGAGTAGGACTTCTCTGGTAGAGTCTATATACGCGTGGCCATGTGAGAGCATTTCGAGAGGGAGAGCGGACTCCCCACTCTCGGCTGTACCAGGGCATTTGGGGGCCTATAACTTATGGATAAACCAATAAGATATCAGATAATATTTCTTGGATTTTGGCGCGAAATCCACTGATCTGTTTGAATAAAAACAGCGTTTTGGGATTTTAGCTGATGTCAGTTCGTGATGTTTACCCTAAATTTAATTCCTTACCCCCCCAACCGTCAACTGTATTTCATAATCCTTATTATTCATACAGGATTATAACTCTTATTTGGCTCTAGCAAGTAGGTGAACATCCTCAAGGCCACTTTAACATCACTCAAAGGTTTTCCATAAATTATAGTCTAACCAAATTTTGTATTCAGTAATGGTCTTTCTGAAAGTATATGAACTTGGAACATTAAAGATAGTCGTAAGTTGACTGGTTAATTAATTGACTGATTGAATGATTATAGATCATAAGGGGTTTTGTGGAGATTCCAGCATTTTCATAGTTGAAATCATGATTCATTTGAAGCTAGACGACCATGGAAAACCTGGAAGCACTGGACAACCGTTTCGTCCTGTTATGGGACTCCTCAGTGACAGTGCGCATCCACGATCCTGCATCGCGAGATTCGAGCCCAGGATCTACCAGTCTCGCGCCAGAGCGCTTAACCACTAGACCACCGAGTCGGTCGGCATCCAACGGTATTAATGTCTAACTTCAACCAACCCACGAAATCTGAGCAGCCGTACACTAATTGTCTTCAGTGAGTTGATATCACTACAACAGGCGTGGTTGAACTCCACTGGTCAATGCTTGATTGAATGATTGACCAAACTATGCAAGTAGAGCCTTTCTAATCCCATAAAATATGAGTTTGTCTTTTAAAAGCTGAAGACTAACTATGTCGAAAACTTTGGGAACGTCAAAATATAGCATCAAAGACAAGCTATCTTTAATTGACCTAGTATTGTTTATTTGAATCTTCCCATTGATGTTTAGGACTGCAACTGGTCAGTCTCTTATTAACATATGTGCATACTAAGTGAATTTCAATTTCACCCCATTGTACAAGCAAGTAGCTATCAGGACTCAGTAGCTGAGTGGATGACGTGATGGCGTTTGGAGCGAAATGTACTGTGTTCGAGTCTCAGAGTGAACATCAACAAGTTTGAGATGCAGGTACATCAAGCTGACGAGTCCCAAATAGGATGAAACGTGCGTCAAACTGGATTCTACTGCTAGTCACTATCCATCTTTGCTTATTTTTAATTGAGTTCATTAAAGACTAAATTAAAACAACCCACTGAGTATTCTTTAAAATTTTATATACTTTTCTTTATTGTATCTTATCATTATAGTAGCACATAACTTTATGTTAGGAATTATCAATGAATTGAAAGTCCCATCAGAAATACGTAAGTAATAATGTAGACAAGTTCTATTAACACAGTTTCTTCGATTGATGTTATATTACTGTAAATACACCATTACATGTGTAGATGGCGTCCAGTCTCGATTGACTATGATCACCGCTACAGTAAGATTACGCGCCAGAAAGCAACTTGGCTCCCTCGATAAAATTCTCAACCAGCTTCTTTCACGTAAAATGAAAAATAAGTGTTTTTTTAGTACGTTGCCTTCAGATCTTTCGTAATGCTCAATAGGTGTCATTCTAGCTACTCAACCTCAATAGTTTTGACCACCTTGGTATTCGATTGTCGATTATTATATCACACAATGTAAATGAGTGCGTCTATCTAAGGCAATAGGTTTACCATGTAGATGGCATCGAGTCTCGATTGACTATGATCACTTCTGAAGTAAGATTACGCGCCCGAAAGCAACTTGGTTCCTTCAATAAGTCGGAAACCAGAAGGCTGTAGCTAGTTCCGATAAAGTTTATTTATTGGCGATCTCGTACTATCGAATGAATACCAAGACAAGCCAAAGATTACAGGCAAAAAGGCAAAGCATAAGAAAGTTCGAACGAACAAGATGGGCAACGGAACGAAAAGTGAATTTTGTTACAGTTAAACAAAACGAGTACAGTAAAACAATCACTGGTACAATTGGTTATAATCATAATTGTTTCCATTATAACAATCGCGTTCTCGTCGAGAAAAGTAGGTCACTACACATGTATATCAGGCGAGCAACAGTTGAGTAGTACTATATATATATTGAAATCATAAACCGATTTAAATTAGACGACCATTGAAAACTTGTAATCACTTGGATGGCGGTTTCTTTCCAGTATGATAATCTTGAGAAGTGTGTATTGACAATCTCACAAGTAGGATACGAACCCAGGACCTTCAGTCTCGCGCTCTAAACAGTCTCATACAAGGAAACAACGCCCGTTTAATGCTCTCAGGTATACAATAGTAGTTAAACTTAGTTTAATTTTTGATTTCACCATACTCGGTAAATGAAACGAAGTTCAATGACACAGTGACATGATAGGCTATTCTAATCCGTCGTCCCCGACCCTGCTAACTAGATCACGAAGTATTAATGAGGCGTGGAAGAATGTATTGGAAAAGCATCTAGAAAAGACAAGGTCACTGAGCACATAAATCAAGCTTATTTATACAATGATAGAAACGCCCTTGAGTGAGACACAAAATAGAGTATTAAAACAATATACATCAGCCAATGACAGTCAAAGATTTCCGAGTGGGAACTATAAGCTGTAGGTAAACCAAGCGTCTCTCGGTGCGAAAACATAAAATTCAAATCTTCAGAACAAAATTACGAAATTATGACTTTTACCAAGTGAGCTCCGGGGATCTAACAACCCCAACAGTTCAACTGGATTAAATACATATGAATGTATATTGTCAAATATTTTACTTATTACTTAGAATTCACTTCATTTATTCATCTAAGAAGCATATAAATTATATATGGTTGAAATCATGAGTCAATTGAGGCTAGACCACCAGGGAAAACCTGGAAGCACTAGATAGCCGTCTCGTCTTATTATGGGACTCCTTAGTGGCAGTGCGCATCCAAGATTCTGCATCGCGAGATTCCAACCCACAACCTATCAGTCTCGTGCGCGAGCACTTAACCGCTAAACCACTGAGCCGTTCGGCATCCAACGGTGTTAATGTCTAACTTCAACCAATCCACGAAATTGAGCAACACATCCACCAATGTCTTCAGTGAGTTAATACCTCCCAACAAACCTGGTTGAACTCCACTGCTGAGGAGTCCCTCCTCATGGAGTCAGTCACGAGTTAACTTTTAATTAAAAATAATTCTATCATTCAATCATTATATTCAATCTCTAAATGAAATGTATATCTTTCGTTTTAAAAATCTTAGCTAAACTACTTCCATTTGATGAATACATTGAATAAAAAGAAACCTCATTTTAACCAATACCAAATCGATTATTTTTTCTTATTTTTTAATCAATAAATATTGATAATTTATTTTGTTGTTGTTTTTGAATCAATATATTGATCGTGAAATGGAAAATTGATGTGTGGGCGTAGATGATAATGATTGGTCAGATATATATAGTTAATCTGATAAGTGTCAAATGAGTAATATTATCCCCCTATCCTTAGTATTGGTTATTATTGATTGATTGTCCATTTGTTGTTAGATTGTGTCGGATTTTGAGTGTGGAAATATATTTGTGTTCTAATCAAACTAATTACGTGTTCTTGGTCTGAGTTGTATTGATGTCGTGTAGACTAGACGACACTGGGAGTGGAATCTAGTGTATATATTCGTCTAAGATAAACAGGGAAACTGGATCGTTAAAAACAGAAATCAATGTGAATGTCATATTCTTATTGAAACTTCATTCGTTATTATTCTGTTTTTTATTGTAAAGATATTTGTACACACAATTGATTGATCACTATGTGGTGATCCAAGTTATGTGTGTCATGTCCTTCTTAGTGTAGATCGAATGCTATCGATCAAGTTGTAATATGACCACTAATCTAGGTAGCTCGACACTGCGTGCACTATTTTGAGATTGTAGATGGCGTTGAGTCTTGATGGACTATGATCACCACTACAATGAGATTACGCTCTCAGAAACGACTTGGTCCTTTTGATAACTAACAAAGCAGGAGACTGTGATTGGTCCAGGTAGAGTATATTTATTGGCGATCTCGTGGTATCGAAATAATACCGAGACGTGCCAATGAGTACAGGTAAAAAAAGACAGAGCGTAAGAGAGTTTAAACCAACAAGATGGAGAGCGGAATGAGAAGTGACTTTGATACAGTTAAACAATTACAGTAAAACAATTATTGGTACAATTGATTACAATAATAATGATAATTCTTTCTATTATTCCAATTGTATTCTCGTCACTACAAAATAAGATGGTGGTTGGAGGTGGAAGTCACGTTATAAATTAACAATATAACAGGAACATACTTATTCTATCTACATTTTATAGGTTAATAGAATCAGTTTCATCATGTATAATTTTAAGGATGATCTCAACTTAGATTGAAGTAAGTTTGGTTAGCTAAGAATTCATTTACTTTATATTATATCATCATTGATGAAATTGTCCGATATTATGACGGCCCATAAAGTAATATGTTAGAAATAAAAGCTCAAGGAAGGAAGTTTCTTCTGTCCTCTAAATCGCAGCGAATTTGAAACACCTATAAAAGCCACTCACAAAGCTAAATCTGTTTCTAGCAGGATAAACAACAACCTGACCACTAAGTCATCGACATTTATCCAGGATCCCATAGTATGTGTAACGCTACCGTGATTGCAGCTCCAATGAAAGTTGATGAATGGGTACTGATCAAGAATAGGAAATGACTTAATGTTGCTAAAGAAAAACCAGTCCACTAAACAGTTTCGGAGAAACTGAAGACTGGTCACAGTGACAGGTCAGTTATCCTTCATAGAGAGTGAAAGCTCAGAAACCAGGACTCGTTTTTCATATCACTTTGGGTTGATAAAAGAACTACTAAACCGGCTAATGACTCAGAAAATCTCTGGAGTTGTAGTGGCATTGGTTCCTAAGAACACGATCTTGGAAGCTGAGTGTATGATTGCTGAGATTTATATTCAATATGTAACACTGGGAGAAGGCTAACAATGGTTAACGCGAGGACGATTGATCGAAATGACATGACTCAGTCATGCAAGTGTGGTGTAGTATTGGTCGTTATGTTAAGTCCATATACTTTATTCTAGCTTCTGGCCAGGCCAATAACCTGTCCATTATGAGTCATATTTTGATCTGGTTAATTATTCGCTTATTAACCTTGACTATACTTTTCTATGAACGTATGTGTATGCACACTTCGTATCCTATTCATCATATGTCTGTCATTCATTTTTGTCTGACTATAAATGTTGATTAACGCTTGCTTAAAATGAGTTGGCTTCCCAGCCATCTCCATTTTGCATCATCTTTGCTTCGCTCGCTTACACTAGCTCATGTGCCCACAGCGTTCTGGTCTGCACCAATAATCAATAAAAACGTAGTTACCGCTTCCTTTTGCCTTCTGATTTTATACACCGTTAAGATTGGTATAATAACGGTTATCGAAGTGAACTATTATTGAAGCACGGCACTACAGTGGTCACTGTATGTGGTCTCCCCCTTTTTTGTATCGAGTTCATTACTATCTTCCCAGCTGTATTCTTCAAAAATGCTAGACGCTATATTACTGAACGTCAAGAAAGGACCAGTCAGTTCAGACAATGATGTGGCTTCAACGTAAGATCTTACAAATTAGTTAGTCATATCATGACAAATCTACAGTTTTAGGATTATATCTGTTATTGTGGTGTCAGTGATAACTTAAATTATTTCATATTAGACCTATTTACAGAGTCACCTTTCTAGATATTTTTAGTCTAGGTTGCAAAAATGAAATTGTAATAATAGTTTCGTTAAAATCTCCTCTTTCAAGAGACTCAACACTATAGATGGTATATAGATTAAAGGGGTCATGACTTTTTGTTTGTAAATCCTTAATGCTTGCTGACGGCATAAAAAGACAGGAAGCTGAAAATCGTCTAGAATAAATGATTGATCCTGACGAGAAGAACCTTAACATTTTAAGCTTTTAGGTGGCGAGGCTTCGACAAAGACTGATGGCTGTGCCGCTTTGGGTGCAGCACAAATCTATTTAAATGATCTCCGGATTCGTCACACAAATACCTGGAGCTTGCTAAAAGATATCGTACCTAGGTGTATAGATAGACTCTACTAAGCCAAATGTAATCGCAGTCGCTGAAACTTGACTGACGCAGTCAGTAGGTAGTAGGGAACTTGATTTTGAAAGTTTCACATTAGTAGGAGCCGACAGAATTCAGAAGCGTAAAGGAAGTGAAGTTGCTATATTCATTGCAAAAATTATTTCATTTGTCTAAGTGATAACATACACCATGAAATTGGGACATATAAATCAATTAGTTGCCGTTTCAAATGCAAGGGACAGAAGCTGCTGATTGGTTTGATCCACTTCAGTTCAACCTGTGAAGTGAATGATATCTTGATAGAAAATTTCAACACTTGGTCGCCAAGTGATTGATGTCTAATCTTGAAAGACTTCGACGCACCTATAGTAGACTAAAAAATCTGAGGACTTAATTATCAGAAAATTCTTTCGGATAGAAAGCACTTGACGCTGTTATTATATTTGCTTGGTGGAACTTGCGAAAGGGGTAACTAAGTACAACTCGGACTCTGAAGCACCCTTGCTAGATCTTATATTGACCCATCATGAAGATGACGTCATAAACCTGCATTATGTGCCACCCCTAGGTAAAAGTGATCAGGCAGTTCTAGACTTTAATTTTCACATAGCTGTCAGCAACGATGATTTCCCAGCCTAAAACAGACCAAACGTCTGGAAGGCAAATATACAAGGTATTATGTACTCAGCATCCACAGTAGATTGAACAATTGAACCAGGGTCCTCCATTAAAACTACTTGAGATGTACTCAAAAATGTGTACATAAAATTCACTTCACCCACATCCCTTGGATTACATCAAGGGATCTGACAAACTCCCCACCTTGATTAGTAAGGAGGCTTGCATCCTTATTCTTAAGACAAGAATGTGGGAGGGATTTGGGTTACTGGGTACTGACGAGGCAAAATATCAATATCGAGGAGCTCAATATAGTTTTGTCTTTACCTTCCTCGAGTCTACAGGGTTGTACGAAGAGAAACACTATAAAGAGTCTATATAATACCCCAAATACTTGTATTGGTACACGAATAAAAGGACTAAGAGAAAAGGTAACATCTCAGCATTATGGGGATACAGTGGTACCTCATCATTAGAGGAGGAAGATTATGTTAGAGACCAAGTATTCTCAAATTACTTTAGCAATGTGCATATCGTAGATATGCCATCCTGTTCAGTTCATGCAAATCCCTCCACACTGGATATTGTGACCATTGGTCTGTTAAATGAGCTTGATTTAGATACATCCATGAGACCTGATGAAATGCTTTCTAGATTATTAAGAGAACTAGCAAATGTGTCGCAAATCCCTCAAACATATGTTTTAATCAACCTGTAACCCAATGTCGATTATCGAGAAACTGGAAGAATGCCATCGTAAGTCCTATCTTTAAAACGGTAAGCAGATACAAACATGAGAACTAGCAACCTGTAAGCTTTACTAGCGTGGCTGTCAAGAATATTAAAAAGATCATTCGGAACGATCTGTTTAAATATCATAACGGAAACAGGATTCTTTCTGAAAAGCAACATGGCTTTAGAACAGGCTATCGATGTCCCACCAACATATTAGTAGACCGTGAATGTTGGTGCCTTCTTAAGTACCAAAAGTTACGCATAGAAATAGCTTAGACTTACTCCAGTCAGGCTTTTGACAAAGTTCTTCACGACCAACCATCGTATAAATTAAGGAATACCGGGATGGGATGCATTATAGCTTATGGATTCATGCCCCTTTAATATATAACATAAAGATACTGTCAATTGGAGAACAGTAACTTACCAACCAGACCAATGACGCGTAAAATATGTACGAGCAGTCTCAAGTTCTTATTGGTCTCTGTCTCATGCTTACCCCTGCCAGTTAAGTTCAGCCCCCGTGACATGAGTCATATATTTCAAACATGCAGAGTTTACATACAAATCAAACACATCACATCTTACCATAAAATAGAAAATAGCATTTGTGCAAGATCTAGCCAGAAGTGGTTGTGATTTTGGAGGATAGTAATTAATAGACTCGGCGTAACTCAAGGACGTTAAATCCCATATTAATAGTTCATAGGTCAAAATAAAGCTTATAATAAGAGGAATATATATATAGATGTATAAATATGTAAATACAGAAAATTTCCCAATATGAATATGCCCAAACTTTGTTGCA